TTAAAATGTTGGGTTTTTTACGGGTTTTGAAAAGTTAAGGGTGTGAATAGGGAGGAAAAATTCCGGAAGGTGTTGACCGTGGAAAACAATTAAGTGTAGGGTGCAAATAGGGGCTTTGGCCAATAAAATATTAATACTATGCATTTCTCAAAAATATTAATACTATGCAAGGCTGCTGAACGGCTCGTTTCGGTCCAGTGATTTTGGGCCCTGGATTAAAACTGTTCACTTCCGTGGGTTGCACATTCGAACCTCACGGAACTCCTTTTCCCCCTCTCTCAATTAAGTCTGTAAATAATTACAAATTAATCAAAAAAATACTATGCAAGGCTGCTAAATGATAATTATTACCTCTAGAAATTAAATAAATCACATAACATCTATACTTACTCTACTCTAGAGAATACTATTATTCTCCTTTCAAACCTTTTAGATACTGAAATTACTAATTTGAGTTAAAGTTGATCCTAACTACTAATTATTTTGCAATTTGTGATTAATTTGATTGAATTACTAATTTATTTGAAGTTTTGATTTATTGACTAATTGACATGTGCCTGAATTATACTTGCAAATTATACCCCATTCAAGAATTAAAAAAAAAAAATCATCAAACCTTTTTTCCTCGTTAAAATGTCTATGATGCATCTTCAAAAAGTTGGATGAAGTATTAGCATACTAAGATTAATTAGAGGTACCATAAATCTCAATAAATTAATTATTAGTAAGGTGGTAATAAGGGACGGGGAAATGAAAAATCAATCCCTCTTAATTATATATTCATAGAGGAGTGGACTGAATGGTGTTTGTTATTTACAGTTTCAAAATTTTCTTCTCCAATTCAATGTTATTAGTCCATCATTGTGAATCTGTATTTCTACCATAGCAACCAACTACTCCAATTCACGATGATAATTGGAAAAGAATACATCATACACAAAATGAACTTAACTTCATATGTTGTTGAGACCAAACGTATATTTAGAGGTTAATTTGTCAATTTTAGTATTCCCACTATAAACCATTCACCCAAGCTGAGGAGCCGCTTTCAGAAAGACGTTCTTCTACGATGCAAGATCATCAATCAATTTCACCCTATTCTATTCTACCACGTGACTGTGAACGAACAATTCTAAAAAAAAAAAAAAGAGACCTCTGAATGTATTATTTTGTTGACATCGGGCAGCTCTGATTTTTCTCTTCCTCTTTGGTACCCATCAAACTGTTTGCTGTATAGGTATTGACTATAAACCAAGTCTGAGTGAACAAAGGCAGATTGGTTTCACCTTGTCCTTCTCTTTAGTCTTTTCTCATTATTTATGTATTAATTCTTGAAGAAAATTTGAATTCATTACCTAACACTAGGAGGCGCATCCTTTTTTGAAATTTGTAATTAATTAACTTTTTAAGTCAAGTGTCAAAATTTGGAATTATCAAAGAGGTCACTAAAAAAAAATGTATGAATTGTATCGTCTCAATGAAATTGCTTGCTAATTTCTTGAAAAAGTATAAAGATGATGTTTAAGTGAAAGAACGTAATAATGCAATAATAAAATAAAGGCAATAATTCAATAATAAAACAAAAAATAAAAAGTAGACAAGGAAAGGTCTGCAAGCTGAATGATTACTGCCACCACCA